CAGAGCTAACTGTCAGAAATAAGAGCACAAGCAAGTTTTCGGGCATGAACTGCTCGGTGCCTCTCTCGCAAATATTTGAATTGCGCAACAAAAATTGCCGTGTCTGAACGGACTTGATTTGAAGGTGTTATAACGACATGCACTGCAGTAACACTAATTAAGTAATATTATTATTAGATTAGCGGATCCTATGTGTTTTAGGGTTACAGAAKTATGAATCTGCCACTGTTTTGTGCATACAAATATGTATGTACATATGTACATAATATGATGCACCGGTCAAAACCGTTAAAAGAGCTAAATGCGAAATTTTAAAGTTACGTATTATTGTATTTTAGTTGTTGCAACGTATGTTTTACCATACATATGTATGTGCATGTATGTACACATGTGTGGTACACTTCTGAAAATTCAAATCGCGTTTTGAATTCAAATGTTTATGCATGTACATAAACATACGAAGATTTGCACCAGAATTGTATTATCATTAGTCGGAGTGCAGCAATATATTTTTATTTATTATTCTATGTATTAAGAATACTAAATAATATATGATAAGAAATATGTAATACTCACGATTATAAGAACACATACATTCCTCTGATTTGAAATATGTATGTTCAAATATATTGAACAGGCATACGTACAAACAAACATTTATATACAACATGCRTGTACTCAATAATAAAAACCTCATACCATGAGAATTGAATCATTTCATTGGAATTAAATATTTCTGTCTAGATGACGTGTCTATCAAATTTAGCCCCACACCAGTCAATTAAAATTTATTTATATAAACAGTAATTCAYAGAAACTTGTTTAATAGTTTTAGGATTTACATTGGTTTCTATTGGAACATGCATACGTAATATGTACATACATACATATGTACATACACATATTAGTATTATTTACAATTTTCAAATGGCCTTTTGTAAAAGTAATGGCCTTCTTTCATGGTCACATACGGCATTTTAATGTTCTCTTCCAACGAATAAATTTTCTGAGCCCACCGCCAGCATGTGCTTAGTCCGCGATAACGTATAAATTTGATTATGAAACAAATTATATACCACAAAAGCGCGAGATAGAATATTTGGTCGAAAAATAGAATAATAGCTAGAATTACTTCTAATGAGTTCATAGTTCCTTTATAATCGTCCAACCACTTATCGGTGTGTTCGTTATCCCTAGAAACTACACATAATAATAATAATAATAATATATGTATATATACAAATATATGTACATACATATTTTAGATTGAGAAATGTTGATTACTTTAAAACTTTACCTTTAATACTGCCTAGCTCGATGGTTGAGTTTACATCGATTTTAAGGCAATGGAATACTTCGTCCCATTTCCGTTCAGCTGAGAGCTTGTCTAAATCCCGACATMGATTTAACATTTTTTGTTGACGCTCCTTTTAAAGTGAGGCAATGTTATTTTATGACGGAATTTTCTTTGTGATATAGTACAGAAATAATATTTAGGTACGCCTATGCATGTTAAATGTGTCTTGACTATGGAGCTCTTACAATTATTCGAATAAACTGAAAACCTATTATTCGAATATCCGGTTAGCAACCGTTTGTATGAATCTTGACCGATTTATAAWTCGAATAGTCGTTGTACTGCCAGTGTTCGAATATTTGTTCTTCTGAGACTATTCGAGTAATTGTTCTGCTCCAGTATTTGAATAAATGAAAATTGTTCGAAATCCAAACAGCCTTTGATTTTTTTTTTGCTTTAAATTTATGAAAATGTCAATTGTGAGCCTATATACTGCAAAGTTTCTGTACTATTATATACGTAGGGACAATTTGTAGAAGTTGGGCGATTACTATTCGAATGAATAGTCTTCGTGCTGGATACTATAGCAGGTGTCAAACTCCTACTTAACTAGAATCGACCTTGGCATATCAAATATATGTACATACATACATATATCCAGCTTGCAACGAGTCCTCCTCCTCCCTATGGTCCGACTACGTAGAAACAGCAAGTCGATGACAACTTATCTAATCCTTACTTATCCCTCCTAACGGGGACTAGAAAACCATTACAACAACAACAACAACCGCTCTACTTGACTCGTAYATGATTTGGCAGAACAGAATATATTATATATAATTGTTCCAAAATGGCTCAATCTGACAAATATTTTTGATAAATTTAAACTTGTATCTAAGTATCCCAAACCTATTTAATGTTAGCACCAAAATATTTAATGTTGTTAGTGAATTTAAACTCGATTGTTCTTTACTATTAAAATAAATGAATTGTATTTATTTCAAAATAAAAAAGTTATAAAGATTAAACTTGATGGTCAATTAGAATTCTTCATATGAATTTATGTATTCATATAATCTTAAATCACTCTCATTAGCAGTATCAAATGGCCTGTTTAAATGAGATAATACAGTAAATACTTATTTATTTTAACTAATTTGGTATTGTTTATAGGTTCAAAAGTGCTTCAGAACACTCGTAGTTTTTCACCACGTCGCTACCAGCTTTTATTTATATCTGTATGTATGTATATTCAGTAATATACATAAGAGACCATATGAAACTGTCGCAAATAGCTGCATAAAATCCATTTCTGCGTTTCGTAATTTTATTAGTAGAAAACTATAAGAATCTTAATGATCGAGTCTCTTTTTATGGAAAATATTTAAATAATACAAATTAATATAAAATGTGCATGGTCTTGATAAATCACTTTATAATTACATTATTTTGCACCGATCTTTATATCATTTATATTTTTTTAATGCATCTCATCTTAAAAATTCTATATCATGCCTGTTGAAAATAATTTTTTTTTTTTTGAAATAAATTTCACAGTGTTGTATTGTTGTAGATCAGTATTAGGAGCCAAACTTGAAAGAAGTGGGTACGGTTTGTTGTGGGAATGCAAAACCTCCCCTCTTTTCAATGATTTTTGATTCTTTAGCTGCTTTTCTCTGATCGGCGGTTACCACAATCTCTTGGAGGGCTTTCGTTTGTTCAGTTGTGAGGCCGGTTGTTAAAAGTGCATACCATGCCGGATCTYGACTGGACAATGCTATATAAGGTATATTACAATTTTATCTCAAGATGTTGCCTAGCATATCATTGAAAATTTGATTTACCTGAAAATACTTCTTTAAAAGTGACATATTCATCAACAGCAGAATCCTCTTCTTCATCATCGATGGGCGTGGTAAAGCCTTCAAGTGCAGTTTCATTAAGATCATCAACAGATTCCTCTTCTTCATCATCCGAATCTTCATCATCTTTTATCTCAGCCTTCATTTCAAAGCCTGCTTCTGCAGCCTTTGTTTTAGATATTTCAGCAATTTGTTCCAGGTAGTTGGATGCAAATTCGTCAACTTCATCTTCGTCACTAGACAGTGCTTCTACTAACAATTTACGGTTACAAGATGTGTACAGATTTTATAATACCAATTCTAACCTTCACAATCATCTTCATCCTCTTCTTCCTCCTCATCTTCTTCCTCTTGTGCGCGTGATTCATATGCACGTTTAAGTCCATCGAAAAGTAGAATAAGATTGGGTATGATTTTAGCAGCTACCTCACTGAGAACTGGCGGTTTGGCGTCCCCCAGTGAAATTAGGGTACATAACCCGAGAACACACAATTTGCGATCATGAATTCTAGAGCGCAATATTCAATTTATAATAAAAATGCTAAAACCAATGTCGCTGTTGTGTTACTTACCCCAGAAAACAGTCAGTATCATGAAGCCATTGCTTTATGAAATGTGATGAAATCGATTCATTGCTTGGCTGTGACATTTTTTCCAAGACGGTCAATAAAAGTTGTGGATTATAATAAAGCGCAGCAATAACCACCTATATAAACAAATTTAATATGCGTTCTTCAGCAGTGCTATTAAGAAACTAATTATTACCTGTAAACACATAGTACGAAGTTCAGATGATTGAACTTCGCGAGTGAGCCGTGATAAAGCCAATTCAACAAACATCGGAATTACAGAGTCAATCTGACCCTTACATTGTAAAATTATAACTTCAAGCAACTTTGCGGCATGACATTCTGGGTCTTCGCCAGGATTAGTAGTTAACATCTGCAATGTTTTTTAAAGGAAATTTAGAATAAACTTGCCATCTATCCATTCGTTTGTATTTCACTTACCGTTTTGCACATATCGAACATGGCCAARAGTCTATTAGGGTTGGAAAGGAAAGCTGGCGTATCAACAGTAACATAATTATGCAAAGCCGGCATTATATCAATAAAATAATCAATTCCATCCTTTTTGAAAACTTGATAAATTAGCTCCATCATCTGCCACATTTCTGGTGAAATTGCCTTTGACGTTAAATCGAAAACTAATGAGAATGTCTCCTCGTAAAAGTCTATAATGGCACAAATTTTAACACGTTAATTTATGGAARGTACATATGTTGGTTTTAGTTTAAGTTCAATAATAGATAATAAATTTATTTTACCAGTAATATTATTCTGGAATATATGACCAACCACATTAATAACAATAGGATGCAAATTTAATAAGACATCGGGATGATCTTCCATAACAGTTAGTAAGGTTTCTATCGTATTTAATAAACCCATTGCCGTTATGGCTTTCTCGTCTGAATTTTCTTCCGATTCAAGTACTTGGCTAAAGGTGGTAGCTAAGTGCTGGCATATTTCCATGGCCACAGGCAGGAGCTGAGTAGTAAATGTGCACATAATTTTTTGCATAACATTCGTAAGGTCTTCGTTTTCGGTTTCACGKATAATTGTTAATAGCTCCTTCGTTATTTCCTTTATTTGGCTCTCTACGTATTGTGCGGCATCATCATTTGTTGATAAGAACATTTGTAAGCCAATGGCGGCTTCGACCTTAACTGGAAGCTCTTTATCATTGAGTAATGCGTGTATATTCAAGCGCATGATTTCCGCTAGCACCTGTGGGTTCTTCAATTGAATTTCGCAGAAATAATGCAGCACCCAACAAGCTCGGGCGCGCATATGACCGGCTGGATTTTGGAATTCAGGAAAGACATATGTAGTTAACATAGTTTCCACTTGGTCACGATAAATACGTTTCTTAAGCAACACATCGGCTAAGGTTCCAATCATATGCAATGCACCGTCCTTTTGTTTATTATCCGCATTTGGTGACGTTATGATCTATTCCAATGATAACATTTCAAATTGTATAATATTTATATATACATAGGATAAGTAATATTAGGGTCGTCAAAGAAGCCATTTAGACTATACCTGCATTATTATATTCATGGCTTTTGGCAGGATACCTTTCCGTTTCTTACAAACTGTATGTAACAGAGATTGCGCTGCTGGTACCGGTGTTGCATAGTCCTCAAATATGTCTTTTATAAAGAATAATAACGAATTACGTAAACAATTTAGATGTAAGTAAATAATGGAAACTCACCGAACTTTAACCTCAAATATTCATGAGGATCGGTCTCCCACAATTCTTGGTCGGCATCAGTGAAGGACATAATAGGAAATAGTACGTCTTGTACTATAGCTACCATGTGAGGTTTTATTAATTTCCAAGAATATGCATGACTTACACTGTGGAATATTTGTAAAAATAAATATTTTTTGCGCTGTTTAAAATATATTGTATGTTTTTACTTACGCGTTTTTTAAATAAGATAAAATATCGGTGAGGACACGAGGAGAAACGTAAATGTGATTTCTATACTGGTCAAGAATCTTTAGTAGTACATCCAAAATTCCTGATGTAAACGTTGGAAGGTACCATTCTGCAAATTTTTGATATTTCTCACTCACTACATTTCGTGGACTACCGTAACTGAAATTTTGTATAGTTCAAAGCAATTAAATCATTACAAAAATAAGCTAAAGCATACCGTTCAAACATTCGCACTATAATATGTAAGGCCCATTTTTTGACTTTCCACCAAGGAAATTCAGGTTTCTCCTCATCATCTATATGTGAACAATCTGGTATTGGTCTTTCAGCAATTTGCCGGCATATCTCCATCCACTGCGAGAATATTTCTTTAGTGATCAGATCCAATGGCAGTGTGTACTGAGTTAAGGCGTAGTAGATTTTTAATATTTGTTTTTGAAGTAGCATCGACTGCTCAGATTGATCATTCATCAAATTAACCATAAGTTGGTAAATCATTGGAAGAAGAAGATTCATGGCTTCATTTAAGGGAATGCGCTCTTCAGAACGCTTATATTCATAAGTTTTCACTAATTGATACATAGTAACCAGAGCGCCATTCCATCCGTTTACATCTAGAGTACAGATTTCATAACTTTGAATTTGTCATCTCATAAGAAACGTCTAAATATAAGAGGCTTATGTACTAACCTGGATTTTGAAGATAAATGCTGATATTGTCGACTACTTGGGGCCAACGACCAGGGAAATCGTTCCTAATAATGTGATTCACACATACGGCTAGTTGGACTCTAAAATTATAAAAATTTAGAAAACGAAAATGTTAACTAAACGTTTATCTAACTTTATAATGTCTGGAGCGTGCACGATTGCATCCACAATTGACCCACGGATCATAGCACGATCTTGCTCATGAATAGAGAATGGTATTGGTTCACCCGC